GCGTGTATAGTTAATTAAAAAGTGTGTAGAAATAGTAAAAATAGTGATTACTTAGATATATGTTTTTATATGTATATACTTAAAAAAAAATTCTATTCAAGATCAATAAATATATAAAATAAAAATTTTAAAAAAACATATCTATATAATCACTATTAATTTATATTTTTATAGTTTAACTGATTTTTACATATGTGACATTAATTTTTACATTTCAATTACTTTTATCTTATCATATTTTATAGCAAAACACATTCACTTTGCATGTAAATGAAATTAAAATTTTTTATTTGTACTTATATATTTTAATGATTATTTATATTAAAAATCAACTTCAAAACTTGTTTTTTTATATACTATTTTAGGCAAGTAACGTAAAATGTGAAATAATTAAATATTGATGCAAGATGCAACAAATAAATAAACTGATACATATTATTTCATCATTAAATAAAATAATGGAAAAAATTTTATAATGAATATAATTATTTATTTTATTACAAATCTTTAACATTATACAAAATGTAAAAATAAATTATTTTATAAAATAAATAATTTCTTAGTTCTTTTCTCCTACATATATTACTCATCATACTAGGAATTATATTTTAATTATATTTTAATACCAGGAATTTTTTTTAAATGAAATAATTTACATTTATTAACAAAATGATTCCTAATGTATTCATAACATGCATATTTATTGCAATTATTTCAATATAAAACTATTTATTAAACAAGTAAACAAAAAACTGAAAATTAAAATGGAAAAATGGAAAAATTAATATATTTCAAAATGGAAAAATTAATATATGGCATTTATGCATGAATGTAACTTTTAGCGACATTACATTATATTATATTATTATATTGTATATTATATTACTTTCTTCGAGCAATAGTTTCCAAAATCAGTTTTTAAAAAGTTACAGTAATTCTAAAAAATAATAATAATTTTGGCTTACTATGGAGAAATTTTTTAATAATTTTAATTATTTGGAAATTATTTGTTACTAAATATAAATGTTATTTATGATTTAAATAATGTCATGATCTCTTTTAAGAAAAGCATGTAAGGTTAATGTTTAAAGCGTCTAAAATCGATTAGAAAAATTATTCATATTATTATGTTAAAATTGCATTGTCGGATGCCTCATTCTCAAACATGAGCTCTTACAAAGAGTTTTTCTTTACGATGCATATTCGTTAGACGGATATTATTAAATATGAGATTGCTCAAAAACCATATATTTTTTATTTGTATTTCTACTTGCATTAGGCGAAGATAAGATTGTTTATTAGCATATGGAGGAGTTTATTAGCATATGGATTAAATCTTATAAAATATTACTGTATAATCGCATATGGTATATAAGATTATATAATCGTTATCTAAGATATAGATTTTAAGATTATTATAAAATAGATATGTATATTGGACATTCTGGCATACTTTCTACTATTGTATTTCATTTTAGACAGTTTAAAAGTCAATTATTATCCAAACGCTGGACGAAATTCCAAGTTTCCTACGCCTTCTGAGTCTTTGTGCCGTGATCTGCGTGTAGCATGTTTCTCGAGCAATTCAACTATAGCAATCTTTGTAGCAACATTATCAACAAATCGCGGATACTGAAATTGCAAAAGCTAGGTATGGCTTGGAATCATAAACTTTTTAAAGCAGAATCAATGTCATTTAGACCGGGAAGTATCAGACACGACACCGCAGTTCGGAGAAACATTTGATTTTATAATGATTAGCACTGGTACGATCGGCGCGACTATAGCTGCTAAGATTCAACGAGGTTCCTCAAGTCAAGGTACTGTTGATGGAAGCTGATTTCCATAAAAGCTTCTTCATAGATAATCCGCGAATCGCGCCCGTTTCTGCAGTTGAACATTAATTGGAACTCGAACCAAGCGACAATTATCATCCAACAAGTACTATCGTTGGCTGAATAACAGTTGCCTTTATCCAAAGGGAAAAGTAGTCAATGGTATCAGTGTACTTAATTTTATGATTGTTAGTAGAGGCGACGCCGAGAATCGCTGGATTGAGATGGAAAACGAAAGCATACAGGGATGTTCTTAAGTATTAAATATTAAGTATTAAATATTATTTTAAGAAATTTTATATATATATATATAGAATTAATAGACATTCCGGAGTTACGGCCGCATATTGCCTATACCATAATATCAAGTACATATTGTTTATCTGTCATTTCGTACACTTTTGGCAAAGGCCTTTCTCGAAATTTCTGGAAGTCAAGCAGCTAGGATATCTGCTAGTAGATTATAATGGAAAGAACATGATAGGATTCTCGTCCAAAGCACAATCACGAATTTATTCGCAGGACGTGTCTACATTTCGCACGCGATCATACTAACCTTCGTTTAACTCTGAAAAGCACGATGATGAAAATATTGATCAATCCTATAACAAATCGAGTAATCAGTGTAGAATTAGTCGAGAATGATCATATATATATGTTCGCAAATAAATAATAAAAAAATCTGTGTGCAGATGCTATTGGATCATTATAATTGTTGATGCTGTCCGATATCGGATCAGCGGAACAACTTAAACTGCGTCAGTTGACGAGAACCTCATGTAGTCTTCTATGGATTGTCAATAAATGGATTTACAATAAACACATTAATAAGTTTACATAATTTCGAAGAATTAAATCTTATAAATTCATAACGAATTTTTTGATAAGATGATCAGAATTATTAACGATTCTGGCCGTTGTTCTTGAATTTATCAATCCAGAAAAATTTCTGGATTGATAAATCAGGATCGATAATTCTGGATTGAAACGGTTTATTGGACTGCAAAATATTTTTCGTTGACAGTAGAAATAAAGATTATCTAATTTCGTTATTAATAAGTCGTCAGACATGGAATAAATACAGTTGACAGATACG